GAGTTTGTGACTGGGCAGGAAAGAGGAGTCTCCAGGGTGCGAGTTTGTGACTGGGCAGGGAAGAGGTTACCTCAGCAGGGGGCTGCCGCACCGGTTGAGGGCCTTGAAGGTGAGGAAGCGGTCTCTGGCATTCATCCGCGGGCGGTAAAACCGCATCAGCCCGTCGAACTGCTTGAAGGAAACGCCGTTGGGTCGCTGAAGGAAGACAGGCTACTCTTAACAGTGCTACTGAGGACATTCGATCCTGTCTCTTATTAGAACAACCTTCTCTGGAATAATCTCTTGCAGATTTCAGATATTCTGTTGAAATCATAATTCACCAAATAATTCACCAAAAGCACAGTTAAAAGCTGCCTTAAACATTTATTAAAACAGATTGCTAGCTCATACAGCGAGGAAGCAAACTGCAATAGGATTGTCTGTATTCAGATACTGACACACCAATTAAACCTGAGCAATATGAGCTGCAAAGAGGTAAACTAGTCCTTTTGACAACTGTTTAACTCAATTAGTTCCTTGATTGTTGGCATTTGGTAATCAGGTAATTGCTTTGCACAAATCAATGAGTCCTGTGCTGTGTGCTGATGTGTAGCAGGTGTGGGCATGGCTATAGGTAGTGTGAGGAATGTGAGCTTGGGAGCAGACTTGGGAACTTAGACTGGTTAGGAAGTACAGTGGAGACTTGTGGAGCCTGTTTAAGGAACTGAGTTATGATCTATTTTCTGTTTGAGGATCTAGCCAAGACGGTAGATTGTTTTTTATTTGAATTCGTAAACTGCATATGATTTGTGAATTTACCCCAGAAATAAAGACTCAGAACTCCATATCATTGTGTGAAGTGGCTTAATCCCCCAAACCAAGGCTGGACAGTTACAGGACATATTATCAGAAAGCTGCTTATTTCCATTAAGGCTCATAGCAAACCAATGTCTATCTTGGAAGCTCGGGGCTCAATGTGAGACTACACCCTGGATGGGATTCCAGTCCAGCATGGGGTTCAATCATGTACAAAAACACACGGGGATGCAATGTGGGCCAGCATGTCTTTGGGAGAAACTGGAGCATCTGTCAAGAAACATGGGGAGAACACGCAAGCTCTACAGGAAAACTGGAAACAGTTTCCTAAAATTCAGTCATTGGCACAGAGGCATGGCGAAAGTCCTCCAAAGACAGACTTTCTAGGTGCCTACGAGCTGGTGTAGGGAATGGACTTCACCAAGATCTTGTGTCTCATGAGGACTAGGATTCTGCACACATGCCTCTGAGCTGTGTCTCCCTTCAAGAACACTGAGTTAGAACAATAAATAACAACAGAAACGCCAAAAGATTTACTGTGAAAAAGGGGAAATGAAAGAAGTGAGAAACTGAAAAACAAAACTTAAAAATGGAAGTGATGTGTATCAAATCCTCTTTGGACACAACTTGTATCCATGCACAAAAATATACATCACTTAGACACATAGCAACTGAGGCTTGAATTAATTTGAAAATGCTTTTGTCAGGTTTTACTCGTGTTTTCAATCAGTTAAAAAAAATGCTGAAAGCATACAAAGAAACTCTAGACAATTCTTTTCACAAGTTTCTTTTCACAGCCAGGAAAGATTTGCTCAGAAAAAATTGTCAATGAACAGACAGACAGACACTCACACCATGGCCAATTAACTCAGTATCTTTGAGGACTGTGAGAGGAAACTGGAGCATCCAGAGGGAACACTCTCAAACACGGACACATACAAACTCCAAACAGGTACTGTAACAGGTCCAGAATTGAACCCAGAGTCCTAATTTTAATCACAAATTACTAACAAACTGGGTTACAGTTAAGACTTATCTAAACCTATTACACGCTTTTTGCTACTAAACCATTTTCATTTCATTTAATAACTGTAAGAAACCTGAAACCAGACTACCACCCTGAACAAGCAGAGTTAAAGCCCAAGCTTTAAGCACATGGAACCCCTGTAGCAGCTCTTGCAGATCACGGTGCTCTGATCAAACTCCGTCTGGATTGGGCTTCCCTTCGCACTCACCTGTCTGCTGACCAGGAGCTGGAAGGCATGGTCAATGGCTGACCTCTTGTGCAGAAGCAGGGATTTGAACTTCATCTTTTCCACACCATTAAAAGTGTCAAACACCACTGCCAGGAGCTAGACAGACAAGGACAGAGTCCGATCTGATTAAAAGGAGTAGACTTCCCTAAGAACAC